GCCCGCTCTCGGCCCTCCCTAGCAGCCAGCGCCGTGGCCGGGGCTGGGCACCGTGCCTGTCCCAAGGTCACGCCACATCCTCGCTCAGCAAGAACAGTGGCATAACAGTGGCATAAATTTCTACTGTCTCAGCCATGAGAGAGTATTTTTAATTTTTTTTATACAACCACTTTCCAGCTCCTCTGAATTATAGATGAAATACTCAGCTTTATTGTCATGGTGATTTGAGTGGCTGGCTTCTCCCCTGCCAGTACAGTGAGACCAGTACGTGGCCTGACACAGCCTGGCCTGCTCTGGGTCAGCCTGTTCCTCCTCCCGGCCACCTCCAGCCCTGCGCAGCCCTTGCTAGGGGACATCCAGCCCCTCAGCCGGGCACGGTGAGAGGCACCGGCCCCAATTCCCCATCGGCTGATGGTCCCCTGGCACAGAACGGTCTCCCAGGGCTGCCCCAGGCTCCGTCCGTGCCCATCACCCTGGACGGGCCTTCTCCAGTGCATCACCGCGACGGAGGGACCTCGGGAGCCGCTGCTGGTCCCCCCCTACCCCGGTAGGTCTGCCACCGAAGGCAAAGAAAAGGCATGAATTATTTATAATGTCTTTCAATCAAATAAATGCTTAGGTGCTTGAGTTAATTTCCTGGATCCTGAAAATCCAAAGTGCAGACTTTTAATAAGGCAAATTAAGTGCTTTATATATTACACTGATTAAAGCTCTGTATCAATCTATCTATCACATGCTGAATTGAAGGGGCCAGGAAACAAACAGGTCCCCGGCAGCCGTGCTCCTCTCCTGCAGGCAGCGGTGGGCTCCGCTGCCCGCCCTGGCCGGGCTCACGCAGGGCACAGGGATGCTCCCTGTGCAGAAACACCTAAAACTGGTCAAAACAAAAGAAAAACACCAAGTCTCTAGCAGTTTTTTCCAGTGAGCGAACTTCGGATCAAGGAAGAGCACGGAACACGGCAGATCTTGCCGTGCCCTGGGACCTGCTGGCCGGCACGGGCAGAGGTTTGGGAGGCAGCAGGGTGCGTTGAGGGACGGGAGATTTTAGCCCGCGGCTCCCCATCTTTTCCAGGGTCTGCTCCCACAGCAGCAAGGGATGATCCCCGTCCACGACGGGGCTGGTTCCCATCTCCGGACCCGGGGCGACCCGGGCATGGCCAGGAGCATCCAGCAGCGCTGCCGGCTTGGTTAGCTGGAGTGATGGGGACTCCTGATGGCACGATGCCATTCACCGGGAATCAATTGCTTAAGCATGTGCTATTATTAATTAGTGCTCATTATGGTGGTTATTTATTATTAATCAGTGTTAACACAGTCCTCTCTCCTCACCGTCCTCCAGCCCGGCTCCCTGCTGCAACCCCCGCTCCTTCCAGCCGCCTCCACCACTATTTTTCTTCATTAACCGAAGAAATGGAAACACCTTCCGGACTTCACTTAAAGATCCTATGGATCTAACGAGATTTGTACCGTGCCAGCCAGGCTAACGAGGGAGTCGCTGCGAATGGCACTAATCAAATTTCACAGAGGCGGCAGCACGGGCCGGGTGAAGCGCCGGGAGTTTTGCTACCAGAGTAAATTGCTCACAGCTTCCCCCGCCTGCCCCGTCTGCGTGGACAGGGTTTTAGGGTGGAAAAGGGGACATGTCCTGGAATATCAAGTCCAGGTAAGGAGGATGCAAAGGCTGGAAAAGCCCTTGGTGGGACTCAAGCGAGGGGCTGGTCTGAGAAAACAAAATCGATGGCAGAGAAGGGAGGAAGAGATTACAGTGCAAAGCCCCAGACAAATGGAGAGCGCTTTAATCTGATTAGGGAGTTATTGTCATTATTGTATTATGCTGATTATAAATCCTTTAGGAGCACAGCTAATCAAAACAGAGATTTGTTCAGAGCTTTAAGGGTCGCTACCTCCAGCAAACGCCCCTGCCCCTCTCCCCAGCCTCCCTCCAGGAGCGGAGGCAGAGCTGCATCCCGAGGCACGGACCAGGGATGCAGCCCCTGCGGAGAAAGCAGGGAGGATCCCGGGGGAAGCCTGGGCTGGCAAGGTGAGGAAAGAGGGGAATGGGCATCTTCGGGGTGGAGAGGGTGGGGAAATAAGGAAGGAGCGAGCTCGCCAAGCAACCGGAGTGGGGATGCCGCCCATGGCCAGGAGACGATGCTCCTGGGGCCGGGCATACCGGGACCATTTTTCCACCCCCCCCCGCTCCGTGCACCTTGTCAAGGCAGCTCCTTTTTTCATTACTGTCTCCTCAGATTAGAGATGTGCTCATTTTGCAGCGCGCTCGCCGCTCGCCGGCCGAATCCCAGGCGCCACGGTGCAGCTGCAAACTGCATTAGCGTCTCGCCAAGGAGGCCCTAATACTATTAGGAGGGAGGCATTATAGGTGCTAAATGACAAGCCCCTAATCAGCCCCGGGATTTATGTCAATCACATTCCCTGCGCAGGGCGGAGCAGGGCCCTTCATTCAGAAAAATTGCCTAATTGGGAGGGTCTGGATTCTCTTCGCCTGTCTCGTTTCTGGAGCTCTGGGGCTCCCGGCTGCCTTCTCGGGATGCGGAATAAACGAAGCTGATGACAAGGTGCGGGACGAGGAGCAGGGAGGTGGTGACTGTGGCCACGGGTTGGAGCTACAGCCAGCTCCTAACTCCATCCAGCCTGCTTTTTCTTTTCTTTTCAGCGGCTCGAGAAGTGTAGGACTGGGCATTGCTGGGACTTCGCAGGGATTGCATCAGTCCAGACTTTGCTGAGGACTGTGCAGGAAAATAGAGGGGAAAAAGGAGACTGTTCCTCCATTTGCCCACCCCTGCATGGGTGCCCTTAAAGAGCCGGGCTGCCTTCCTGCCCTTGGCTTCAGCTAAATTAATTGGCAATTACCAGAAGTCCATAAAACCCAGCCTTTCTTGGGGAAGGAAGCTGTAAAAGCTCCGTGTCCGCAGCCGTATTTCCTTCACTGCGCATTGATCCCGTGGCCTCTGCTGGCCACGGCTCAGCTGCGGGGCGATGTGCTCGGCCCCCGCAGAACCACCCGCATCGATCCCGGGGACCTCGGCCAGCCCGCACCCCCTTGCAGCCAGGAGCATCGCTGGCCCCCTGCTAGCGCTGGGTGCAAATTCCCGGGCTGGTGCCAGCCCGTAGCAGACTCACTCGTCCTCCCTCTCCTTCCCACCCATCTGGCAATATTTATAACGACGACTGCTGTGGGAAAAAAACCCCGTCAGCTGCAGCTGCAAGGGGTCCATCACAGCATCAGCAATCCTCCCAGCACCGAAACGCCCCGGGGCAGGGCACCGAGGGGAGCCTGGCTGGAGGCAGGGTTTGGGGAGCGTCCTTCTGCGGGATGGAGGGATGCAGAAGGGCACGGCTGGACTCTCCCACCGGGATGCGCTGAGGCCAACGTGATGCCCCATGAGATTGAAGAGGCTGCTGCTCCAGGGAGAGCGTGCATGCAAAGCCTGGACCAAAGGAGCAGCCAAATGTGCTGCTTGGGCCCAGAGGAGATGAGGAGGGCTGGTGGCCAAGGGTGTGGAAAGGCAATTGCCTTCTGGAAAGGCAATTTGCTGCTGGTTTTGGTCCAGGGGATCGCTGTTCTTTCGGGACGGCGATCTCTGCAGTGCTGGTGGTCTTGCTGGGCTGTGGAGGGTAATGGGAGCACGGGGAAGGGTTCCCACACCCCGCCGTGCGCCCAAAATTCCCTCCGTGTCATTTTCCAGTGCTGAATATTTGACGAAGGCTAAAATACCAATAAGCTGTATTACAGCAGTGCTGCATGGAGCCCGGGAGAGCGTTTTAGCTCTTTGGATATTGCATGCTACTCCCACACTTTCATTACAGGAATCCCATTAAAGGTATTGTCTGGACCCTAATGACGGCGAAGGGGGGGATGTGGCCAGAGCCCCAATTTCAGAGTCCTGTGGGCTGCTGCCGTGTTCCTGCCCACTCACTCCGTGCAGCCGCAGAGCCGTCGTGGGGCAGGTTGCATTTAAAAGCCTAGACTGAATCCAGAGATTTTTAAAAGCCCTCAGCTCCCATATGTCCCTGCTGCAGCAGATGTGTTTAGTACGTTCCCCTTGCCTTAATACGCACTGTTTGAACAAAAATAATGCTCTGTATATTTTACAGAGCTCCTCCGCACGCGGATTTTGTCAGGACTGCAATATAAATATCCCCACCAGCCTCCCAACACCCACCTGCCCAGACTGAGGCTTAGGCAAGAACATGTAAAAATACACCCTCCGCGCTAATCTGCTGCTGATGGCAACAATTAAGCAGCAAACCAGGCTGCTAAAACCTGCCCTTCCGCGGCCGGGTCGGTGCCCAGGAAGGGTCTGCTCCCTCTGCGGCTGCCGCACGGGTTTGCCGAGGGGACCCCGGGGTCCCCAAGCAGCGCTGGTGCTTGTGTCTTACCAGCACCGTGGCACGGGGCACGTGTAGCCGGTTATTAAAAGCCATTACCCGGCCAGTGCCACGCTGTCCCCTGCAGAATGGCCACCTTGCCCGGGGACTCATCTCATTAGAAAAAGAGCCAGGAATCGGCTGAATTTCCACCCTGCTGCTCTCAGTTATCTCTGTGAAAGGGGAGCCAATTACCAGCAGCTGGTGAGAGCCTAAAATTATTATTAATTTCAAACAAAGCATATGCTTTGTGTTAACAATCCTCCGTGGTGTGGCAGAAGGGCCAATACCATCCAGATGGCTCAACGTGCAGCGGGAATGATTAATGCACGGCTCTGCCGCCTCGCCGGG